CTGCCTCCATAAAAAACATGGAAAATTGCAGAGAAGGAAAATCTTTGTCTTTATGGATTTCCTAATGAGTGTTGGGAGGTTAATTTGCCTGCTGAGGAGGTGCCTCCTGAGCTTCCGGAACCTGCTTTGGGTATAAACTTTGCCAGGGATGGGATGCAGGAGAAAGACTGGCTGGCTCTCGTGGCTGTGCACAGTGATGCGTGGCTACTTTCTGTTGCTTTCTATTTTGGTGCCAGATTCGGTTTTGATAAAGCGGACAGGTACTTTATTCAAATCCTTGGAACTTCTAAAGTTTCCTCATCATGTTTCTATTTTTTTCGTATGCTGTTCTCAGGCTCAGGGTAATACATGGCTTTGTTTAGTTAACTTCTTTAAGTTTCCTCGTCTGGTTTATATTTTATTTTCCGTTCTCTCAGCAAGTTTTGTACTTTATTTTGCATTGGTCATCTGTTCTCAGCTGAGTTATATTTAGTTGTGTATTGCCATATTGAGGAGGTGTTATTGTTTTCGTCCTGCATAATGATTTTTTTTTTTTAATTATTACCACTATTGATGCATGCTAGTCTTTCATTTTTCTACTATCCCATGATTATATGCTCTCAGTTTCAATAAATTTTACGGCTAGATATCCTTTTTCTCCAACATGTCTATCTAGTTTACTTCATAGGATATTGCTTGTCCATTCAAATAACTGTTTTGCTTCATTGGATTAGTAATAAGAAGCCATTTGAATTGTGGTTTGAGTTATGTGCTATCCTCTGAACAACTGGTTCCAAGAAATTTCAGTCTCATTTTTTTTTTTTTTTTTTTTTTTTTTTTTTTTTTTTTTTTTTTATTATCTTGACTTCTAGTTTTTTTCTCCTCCTTTGTGATGGGTAACTAAATGCTTCTGCTTAATGGTTTATGGTGCTGACTGTTGACTCCTTTAATCTATTCCTCCAGGTAGAAAAATATAAAAACATGAGGATTATATAGTGTTATTTGCTTGATATCTTCTATATTAAGATCTCTAATTTTGTGTAATTCCTCTGCTAGATTCAAATGTTTTGTATTAATAAATAGAGTTTCTCCTAATGCTGTACTTTACGTTTGTTGGTGGTGGATGCAGGAAACGGCTATTCAGTCTGATAAATGATCTCCCAACGATCTTTGAAGTTGTGACTGGAGCTGCAAAGAAACAAGTAAAGGAAAAATCACATGTCTCAAACCACAGTGGCAGTAAATCCAAGTCGAACTCAAAAGCGGTAAAGGAAATTTTCTTTATATATCATTTGGAAAGGCATTGAAGTTGAGTTCATGAATTTTGTGCATTTCTGTTAGAGATCACTTATGATGAAACTAATATGAGTCAACTACAAGAAATGAAGTTTGGCTATGTTAGCACTGACTAGCCTTCCTGTACTGTCCAGGCTAATATAAGCACCTGAAACATAGTTATAGTATTCTCTTCTTTTTTCACCTGTTGATATGGAAGTGAAGTTGATTAAGGTTCTTATAATTACCTTGCGCTTTCTGCGGACTTTTCTAATAAATGAAGGATTTCTATACTTTTACCACTTGCCTCTATGAAGATGCACCTTTTAAGAAAATGACAAAAATTATCTAGCTTTGCGTGCGAAGGAGATTTTGGAAAATGTGGGGATAAAATTTCAGAATATTGCATGCAAGTTGTTGATGGTACACATGATATTCGATACTTTTCTTGTTTCCTTGTGTGTGTGTGTGTGTGAGAGTTAACTCAGATATATCAGATCAGTCCTAGCTTTGTTTTGAGTGACTAATACATCAAAAATGTGTTTTGTACTGTTTCCATGTTTTAACTTAGATTTGTTAGTATCTTTATCAGCTTTGGAAGTTTATCTTTTTATCTGCACTCATAAGATAATACCTATTTTATCCTTTGGAAATAAATAAAAGTTACATATTACCTATGTTTTATACCATGAGGTGTACATATACATATATAATCCTATCCGTTTTAATATACATCTAAATTCTAGTTTGCTGCTTTGAGCAGCTTGAGAATTCTCTCAAATTATTGTGTCGGGATTTCAAAATACTGATTGCAGTCTAACCATCTTATTTATCGATCATATTCTCATAAACGCTACCTCGTTACCAAGGGTCGTTCCATCTTCGTGTTTTAATGACATTTTTTTTCACCTAAAGTTATATCCATATCTTTTTATTTCAATGAGGCAAGTTCGTACTTGAGCATGAGTCAATTCTGAACCAAACTGTAACTGATGCACCACTGTAGTATTATTTATTTTCTCCTTTCCCTTGTGTTGGAGATTGGAAGGAAATTAATTTTCTCTTGTGCAGATTGGAAATTCTATGTCAGATTTGTACATTAGTGTGGTCCCACACTGTTTAAGCACGCCCATCTAATGGTGAGCATAGTCGTCCCGTAAGGTTCCATCCCAAAAACAATTGGTGATGAGAGGAGATAGCTCACTGTACTTATAAAACTAGTCAGTCTCATAATCCTATGTGGGACGACTCACAAGTGAACATTCCAACACTTTGTTTATTCGTTATTGTGCAAAATATGTTTCCCATTATTATTTTAACGTCCTTTCAAGCCAACTTACATACGTGTTTTCATTTATTATACCATACTCTAAATTAGCAAACTAACCTGCTGTCTTCTTTAAAATAAAAAACACAAATATTGCAGAATAAAACTACGAAGGTCCAGGCTAAAGATGAGGACGAGGGAATGGATGAGGAAGATGAAGACGAGCATGGTGAGACTCTTTGCGGAGCATGTGGCGAAAACTACGCCTCGGACGAGTTCTGGATTTGCTGCGACATATGCGAGAGATGGTTCCATGGCAAGTGTGTGAAGATCACGCCTGCCAGGGCCGAGCACATCAAGCAGTACAAATGCCCCACCTGTAGCAACAAGAGGGCCCGCCCGTGATGTGACCGGGACTTGACTTCTTCTCGGGTTTGTCTTTTCCCCAATCGTATCTTCATGGACGAACTTGATGGCGTGTACAATTGTTGCTAGTCTTGTTTTATTTCAGGATAGTCTTTGGATGCTCTTGCAAGCACTCTTGTTTAGACCTTCTAATTGTTTATTTGTAGAGATTTGATGTGTTGTGAGGAGATTGGAGGCATCTTTGTGTCTTTTAACATTTGGTCTATGCTGCTAAAACTGAGTTGAGTGCTATATTTATTTACCAGTTAGACCTTTTGAAATCTGTTGTTTAGAAATTGATCTGGTCAGGTTACCTTACCTACTAGAGGCTAGGGATCTTTTTGTTATTTTTGTGTTAGATTTGTCACAGGTTACCTTACATTACCTACTAGAAGCTAGGGATCTTTTTGTTGTTTTTGTGTTAGATTTGTTTCGTGTGATCTCCTTCACATAACGTTGGGTATAGTTACAACTAATTACAATAGGATACATTTTTTATTTATCAAAATATACGGGAGGATGATGTTTTCAATTAGTGCACAACTACAATGACCAGTGTTTTAAATACCGTACAAGTGGTGATATCGGTCTAGCCACCGGTACGCGATATTACGGATCGGACCGGTAATATTGGTTGTATCATTGAACTTGCAAATATAGTGATATATATAAATATACATAAAAATATATAATACCAAATGTAAAAAAATAAAAAAATAAATGACCATAATCATTAATTACAACTTCTCAATTGAGATAAAAATAAAATATTTTAAACCAATTTTAATTCTATGTTTTTAAATTAGTAATTTTTTTTTGTTGATCGATATTTTAGACCGGTATTTTCTGGTATTTACGGTATGATCCCGATACAAATCCATATGACCGTAAATTCGCTATTATGTATGTAATTGTACTGTACCAATGACCGATATCTGGTATATAAAACACTGGAAATGACATTATAAATATGAAACTTAAGGGCATCCACGTGCGATGCACATCAAACACCGTCGCTCTCTAACCCCTATATTAGACATAACCAAAACACGGGTTAGACCTCCGGCGGGCCAACAGGCACGAAATCATGGACCGAGAACCGGTAGGGATCTAGGTCGTGCCGGGTCCATGGTCTGGCTTGCCGCATCTAATCTGGGTCTTGAATCGTCCAAAAAAAAAAAAAAAAACAAACAAACAAAAGGTTTTCTCGGGCCGAACCGGATGGGCCCGGCCCGTTGGGCTAGGGTCGAAAAACAAGGCCCTGAACTGGCCCAATTAAAATTCGAGTCGGGCCCGATCCCGTGGTCAACGGGCTTGATCGGGCTCGAACCTGTGGTCAATGGGCTTGATCGGGCCCGAACCCGTGGTCAACGGGCTTGATCGGGCCAGCTATATGCCGATATTAGTGGGAACACTTTCACTAATTTAATATTGTTAAATTGACAATTTTTTTAGGAACAATATAATTCATTAATAAACTACATAATTAGAAGCGACTAAATAATCGACTGAAGCAGCTAAAAGTTGAACCAGATGGAAGGATACACATTTGAATGATTATAGTCTAGAATTTACTACACTAAACACACACACACACACACACGAGATCAAAAAGCTAGAATAACCTAGAATTTACTACACTAAACACACATACGAGACTAAAAAGCTAGGAAAACTAAAAAACACTAAACTCTAGAATACTACTTACCCAAAAAAAAAGAATAAAATACGATAAAATTGCATGGTTGACTATATATATATATAAAACTTATTGACAGAAATATGACACTTAAAATTTTTTTGGTACATAGCCAGTATTGTTTGAAAAATAACCTTGGGCTGCCAGTCGACCCTTGTAGCAAGCAAAGGCGTAAAGATGGCCTTTTATTCCCAACGACAACTGAAAAATCCATGTACAAAATGAACATACTGAAAACAGTACATATATAATAACACCAAGCAGAATCCTGCATTTGCCTTAAACCCACATCACTTTATCTAGCCAGCTTATGAAAATAATCATTTACAAGTTACACCCAAAGTCAAAGATTGTTAAGAACCCTGCCAGCTATATCTAGCGAAACCTCTTAGTCCCATTCCGGCAAACGACATTCGGTTTCCGAGCATGCTGGCCGATGAGCCCAGACGAAATACTCCACAGCTTGTCTGAATTGGGCTGGACGTAAGAGCCCTTAACGACTGGACTCGACTTCATCAAGGGATGCTTGTTCTTTTTCCCCATCCCGTTCGCCAGCAGCCATCGGGACCCAGACTTTTCCTGGTTCGCCGGGCCCCACAGCTTCTTCCTGCCCCACTCCACCTTCAAGCCCGCCACAGCCACCTCCATGATCTCATACTGAGGGATCGATTTTTCCATCTCGTCAGTTTCGCCTTCTCTCGCCTCCTTCCCCTCCGGGTCCCACTCATTATCCTCTTCGTCCTCGTCCGCATCCCCGGCCGGAGGGACCTTCCCGTAAATTCTAAATTTGGGGAGACTAAATACCCTCCCGACCTGGACGAGGCTCAGCATGGGACCTCCCACCGGCTCGTAATCCCTCAGTGGGTCCCGCAGTTGCACCATGAACGCGACCGTGAAATTATTGCCCAACAGGCCGTGCCTCCTGCCCTTGGCCCGCCTCTTTTTTTCTTCCCCTTCATTTTTCCTCCCCCGAAACACGTCCAGTGACGTGGCGCGGTGGGCCGCGAGTATTTTGCATGTTCGCTCGTCCACGAGATCTTCGTGGTCAATTTCTCCAGAGTCGAATCTCATCCACTCGTCAAGAGTGAGAGAGAGGCCCATCAGCCCGTCTATACCGTCCGGCCCATTGTCATCCTTGATGTCGAGCAACTGGAGTCCGCCCGAGTTCGAGGTTTTCCCTTTCAAAACCGAGAATTCGCCCATGGACTGTGCGGTTATGTCCGAAGGGACATCCTCGCACGACATGCCGGATTGTATTCTGAGGCCCTCGAGCGAGAGGGCCTCGATTTTTTCCATTGCTAGAGGGGCGAGATCTTCAAGAGACACATACTCTTTGTTTGTGCTGAATGAAGTTAAATTGACACTCGTTTGCTCGCTGAGTGTTTTCTGCAGGATTCCGGATTGGGGTTGCCTGTGATAGAGGATCAACAAGTCAATGGATAAATAACTAACTGAATCCTAATTACCAAGAAATTACAATTATCTACTTAAACCACTGGCAACAATATGGTTTGTGCTAGCAAGTCTCTGAAAACAATATGGTTTGTGCTAGCAAGTCTCTCTCAAGTATCAACAATAACGACAAACCTCTCGGCGGACCCCACCACACGTGGACCAGCTTCCCAAGCTATCTGCTGGATAGTCCTGCCTGTTATGTCCTCCAATGGCATCAGTCTATTTGCCTGCACGGACAGCTTCTCGATCCCCAATGCCGCCAAGCCCTGAAGCACATCCATCACGTTGCAACCCATCTCAGCTGGCACCACCACCGGACTAGACACCTGCATGACCAGGCTCCCTCCGTTGCTGGCATTCGGGAAAAACCCAGGACTCATCGAGCGCAGAAACCCCCCATTTTTCGTCCGCACAAACGGGCCCACACCCTCAGCCAGCGGCGGAAGTGTGCAAACCTCATTCGGTGGGTGAAAGTCAACCGGACTACTGAAACTGCCCAAGTTGCTTGGCGGGGAGTGTTGAAAAGCCTCCTCATTTAAACCCCAATCGCGCATCAGTGCCTCGCTCTCCAAATCTTCCAATCTGGAGGCCCTCGTCATAATCTTCGGCCTACATGTATCCAGTTCAGGCTTTTCTTGCAAAAAGTCATGCTTTAATGATGGCTTGTCGTCCAAAATAAGATAGTTTTCGATTTCGAGATCGAGTAGGCCTCCGTGCGCAAGTGCATCCTTCTCGAATTGCTTCAAGAGGCACTCCCTTGGGGACTCGGGCTCGCTTTCGGAGCCAGAGCCTGACGGGCTGTAGTCTATGCCCAGCATATCCAAGAAATCATTAGCCACTGAATCTATCAGGTCATCCGAGATGGGCAGTTTGTCTAACAAGTCTTCTCTTTGCAGAGCATCGGTTTCGTCTTCTTGAGAATCTAATCCATCATTGACTAGATCTGTGGCGTAACTTAGTGCTGTTTCCAGATCCTTCATTAGCGATTCTTTTGAGCACAGATCATTATCTTTCTCCTTAGAGTCGAGGCCTCTAATTTCTGATTGCTCGTCTTTCGGGACAACAGTTTCCACTTCTACCCCCTTCTCCACAACAGAGAACTCGCTAATTCCTCCCTCGGCTTCACAAACCTTCTCGCCAGTAGAATCTGGAGGAAAATGAACCAACTCCAAATTATTCTCAGCCAACTTACCAGAATCCTCTTCCACCTTCCGGCAAATCACGTTCACCGAGTCACTCACCTCGGAGCCCAACACAGGCAAGACCTCGTGAAGGTCCTTCACGTCCTCCGAGGGCTGCTCAAACGTAGACAGCCTGGCGGGGAGACTCTCCACCCGGCGAATCACACTCAGCTCACCCGACAAGTCAAATGGACCAAATAGGGTCCGCGGGCTCTCAGGCACGCTGTGGTTACTGCCTTCCCCATTCTCAACCACTGCATACCCAAAGCTGACGTGCACTGTGGCCCCTCGGGCCTTACCCGAGAGCCCGAAGCTCGTCGTCCACTTCCCCGAGCTCTTCTCATTCTCGAGCTCATCGAGCGTCAGGGGAAGCAGGCGAGTCACGTCCACACGATGTCGGCCCAGGTCAAGGTCGGGCGAGTTGTACACAGACGCGTACAGAAGGAAGTTCTTGGGCTCGTATCTGGCCGAGCGGTGGGGCCCACTTCTATTGCCATACACGAGGCAGGAGTGTGCGAGGTTCTCCTCGAACTCGGCCACGCCTTGATGGACCCGGACGGGCCGGGTCATGAGGTCCCCATCCTTACGCCTCCAATGGACAACCAAAAAGGCATCGTTTAGAATGGAGGGCAGGCCCTCGACCGAGTGGACGAGGAGAGAGAAGGAGCAGTTGAACCTCCGGGCTCGTGCATTGGTGAGGGCCTTGAGGCCTTTCCAGGTCCAGAGGGAGGGCTTTTTCGCCTTCTCATCTTTCGGGTCCTTACGTTTGGGTTTCGGGTCGGACGGCCGGGGAATAT